TAATCCATATTTAAAACTAAATGTTCTATGTGAAAAACAACCAAAATAAAAGAGCAATTTTCATAAATTAATTGAAAATCAAAATCAGGTAAGACTAATGTATCTTTCTATCTATTTTATTATTTAGGTTAAAATTTTTAAATTCAAATAAAATAAAATAATATTAACTCAGTCAATAGGATAATCACTCGTAAAACTCAAGATGCTAGACTTGTTTTGAAAATAACTAAAGAAGTTAATGTAATTTTATTGGATAAAAGAATTTGAGATATGATAAAAAAAAAAGAAAATTTTGAGTCCAACTGCTTGGATAAAAATATATGAAGAAAAATAATTTATTAGATCATAATAGAGAAAGAGAGTCTATCTCACTCTTGATAAGTTATCAAAAAGGTTAAAAATATTATGAGAAATGAATTCACTTTTTGACTTGGTAACAAACAAGTGTTCTTGTTGTATCATGACTGGTTGAGACTTGACAAATTGCGTAATCATATTTTCTGTGTCAATATTTAAGATATATAGCTGAGCCTGCAGGTCAAGGATGTTTGGACTCAACATGGGTGAAATTTTTCTTAAATTGTCACTTTAATACTAATATCAATAACTTCAATCATTCAATAATCTAACTTGTCAATTAATAGTCATGTGGACAAGTTTATTTGGTCAAGCAATTTGGAGGAAAGTTATATAGCTAAATATGGTTTTAACTAGCTTGTTGGCAGAGAACTCCATACTAGTACATTAGTTGGAGGTAATTTGACATATTCCTTGTACAAAAAAAAAAAATTAAATTTTTAGTCTAACTTATTTGCTGTGATTTCCTTCCCACAAATTACTTAAAACATCGTAAGAACTTGGTGCCTTCACCAATTTGCTTGAGATGTCACATTTACATTGAAGAACTTTTCATTGTGTCAGAAATTATCCAACAGCTAAGAAAATTTAGGTTAATGCAAGTTTATGGAAAGAAAGGTTTGCAACTTCCTTTGATGCCAATAATTGGATTATGACTCAACATAAAAGTAATCTTTTCTTATTGTTTTAGCTACACTATGCTTGATATGGAGGACTATGAATGTTGATTGCATTGTTAGAAAAAAAATTCCAATTTATAAAATTATACTTAATGTTATGAACCTTACCAACCAGCTTCATTTATGTGAACAAGTGCAGTAATCTCAAGTCTGCTTGGAGTGTTAGATTTGTTAGAAGATTGATTAGAATTTTGAATTCATCTTAATGTTGAGGAGAGTGCTTAGAGGAGCTTAAGAAGAACTGGTTTTGGTGTTCTTATTATGAATAAGGATGAATATTAGCTCAAAGGAGCTTTTGAATTTATTGATATTTTTAACAATACCCATGCTAAACTTATAATCATACTTTAGAGTTGAAAATGACTTGAAATCTAAATATTAAACACCTCTTTTTTTTGTTACTCTGATGTGATGAAGATCATAAACCTTGTCATGAAAATTGTTCCACCTTTCTACATATATACTAATGTCATTTAGGATATAAAGGAATGACTAAGAAAAGGCTGACAAATTACTATCAAACACATTCTACTTTAAGACAACACATGTGCATATTTTTTAGCTAAGTTAGAAGTTTCTTTCAATTGTGGTTTCAAAAATTAGTTATCACCTCCTACAGACTTGAGATTACTTCTTTAGGATGATATTAAAGAAGTCTTATATTTGATATTGTAATTTTTTTCCTTTTTTTTGTTTCCTTTGCTTTCCTCTACCAAAAAAATAGTAAACACAATGTATTATTAATTTCTTTTTTAAAGGATCAATTAAAATTATTAATTTATCATAAATTAAAAAGATAATTTTTTAATACAAATACGAGCCAATTTTTTAAATGATTTATAACGTAAAAATTAATTAATTTTTTAGTATATATTTTAATGATTTTAGTAATACTTTAATAGATTAAATATGTGATTAGTCCCTGTAAATATAATACATTTTATGATAAGTTCTTATAAATTTTTTTGTTATGATTTAATCTCTAAAATGTTAAAATATTAAGATTTAGTCTTTATTATCAACCTCTTTCCTTTTGTTAAGTGTTGACTAAGGTAAAGCCAACATAGTGTTTCCTGTTATTTAATTTTTTAAATATTTTGGACTTAACTATGTTTTTTATCCCTATAAATGTAACACAATTTATGATATGTTTTTACAAAAAAAAAATTTGTTAAGATTTAATTTTTATCATTAACCTCTTTTTTGTTTAGTGCTGAGGAGTCAACTCATCATTACTATTATTGTCGTATATTATAATGTAATTTATTTTTTTAATATTTAATTATTTATAATTAATATTTCAAACAAGTTCCGAAACATATTTTAAATATTTATAAAAAAGTTTCTTAGAACCCTAAACTCCTTATCTTTTAACGTCTTTTTTTCTTTCTCTCCTTTCTCTCCTTCTCCTACATCTTGTTGAGAATTCTGATGTGAATGTATAAAGCTTATCAGCAGCACACCCGAAACCAAGTGAAGGAGAGTTAACGATAATGACTAAATTTTAACTTCTTAACATTGACTTTATCCTAACAAATTTTATAAGAATCCATCATAAAATGTGTACATTTATAAAAAAAAAAAAATATAATTAAACCCAAATTATTTAAAAAATTAAATGATATGACAACAACGTAGGAATGCTTAATTTACTATGTATTGGCCAGTTTAATACTTAAAAGGTTGACAGCAAGCACTAAAATTTAGTATTTTAGCGTAAATTAAATCTTAATAATTTTTTTTTTTATAAAAACTTATCACAAAATATATAGCATTTATAAGAATCAATTACATACTTAAACTTACTTTTAAAATCACATGTAAAACATAAAAAAAATACTTTAACTAAAGATATTTTTATATTTTAATTTTATAATATCAAAATTTTTAAAGTATTCTATGAGTTATAAAAGATGATAAAAAAATATTTTAACAAAAATTCAGTGTAAGAATAAGCATTATTTTTTAGATAATGGGACTTCACAACTAATAATAATAATAATAATAATAATAATAATAATTATTATTATTATTATTATTATTATTATTATTTAAACTTAATATTAAAACAATATTTATAATGTTAATAAAAAAATAAATCAAGAAAAAATAGAAAAAAACAAAATAACATTTAAGTATATAAAAATCATGATACAATTTTTTTAAATCTTATTGTAAACTCAAGTTTTAACTTCTAATTAAATATTTAGTCTTTTTTTTAATTAAGCACCTTAAATTCTGAACTTTTTCTAATTAAAACAAATATTAAATTTAAGAATTTATAAAATCACGTAATTAATTATTTAAATTTTTATATTATTAACAATTACAGTAAGATCTAATTTATTAATTAATTTTTGAATTATTAAAATAAATTTAATACTAATTTAATACTTAATTAAAAAACTGAAATTAAGATGCAACAATTTAATTTAGAAAAATTTTAATTAAGATTCATCGTATCCTAACTAAAAAATCTATTTACACATAATAAAAAAAAACAAAATTTCATTAGAGTTGATAAAGATTGAGTTTAATTTCTTAAATCTTAAGTCTTAAATTTTCGCTTTATACAAAGACAAAATTTTGTTTAAATAACTACTTTTTAAACATTAATATCTTCTAATAAAGTTAAATTTACGTATAAATATGAGAATTTATTTTAGTTTAACTTAAGAGTAATATAATGACGCATATAATTTTAAAGATAAAATTTCAACTATACCAAACGACATATGATGAAAAAATTAATACAATTTTATTTAAAATATAATAATAAATGTTATTAATATATTAAATTGAGTAATATATTTCTAATAAAAATTTATTATTTATAAATTTTTATCACATAAATTTTAAATTCGTTAAAAATATTATTTTAAAAATTATTAAAAATTAACATGACGACACTTTTGTAATTCTAATAATAAAAATCAGTTAATAAAACCCTGAAATTTTGTTTTGTCATTTTCTCATGCATTTATACACTTGGCCAAACATCAATCAAAAGTTACCTGCTCTGTCATCTTCAGATTACCAAAACATCCTCATGATTCTTACGTGTCCCCTTCCCAAACATGAAAAAACATGAAAAAAGAAACCAAAACTGTTACACTTTTAATTAACTAATAGTTAAGAAAAAAATTATAAAAAATGTCAACTCATTTCTTTTACACTTAAAATCTTCAACAGAATTTTATGAATAAATAAACTTTCAATTTTTATTTACAAACAATACATCACAAAAATATGCATGGTGTCACCAAAAGAAAGAAAAAATGAAGAAGACTATTGGCCTATTTATTTTAAATTCCAAAATTTATTTTGTGGAATTGAATTATTTTTATTTTTAAACAATTGAGTTGAAAGAATTTTGTATCTGAAAAATCATGTAAGTTTAATTTTTGATATAAAACAAATAAACTCTTTATCAGGATAATTTTTTATGTTTATAATATATTTTTAAAAAAATATAATTTATCATTTTTAAAAATTCTGAAAAGAATATTTTTTTTTGCAAAGAAAATTAACACTAATAATATTAAAAAATTTAACGCCAAAATATATTTTCATTTAAGGTGAAAAATTGTCCAATGGGTCCCCAAAAGGATTAACAAGTCTAATATTGCGAAACTATTTCAAATACATTATTTATTTGATAGTTTTTTATTTTATTATTATTCCATCTTTCTTCGTCTTTGACTAGTTGTACTTTTACTCACACCGATTCTCTCTCTCTCCCTCTCTTCACCTTTCACTGTTTTTTCTCTCTCCCTTGTCTCCTCGCCGGAGCCTACGTTCCTCGCCGGAATTTCTCTTCGGAAACCGTTCTTCCGCCTCGAAACACAGCTATCCTTTTCAAAGCCTGTTATTTTCCGGGTCCAAGTCACTCTCTCGTGGGTTGAAAACGAAAACCGGTGTGGTCTTTGACTCGAAACCGTTAATGGGGTTTCTTGGATTTTGGTTTCTGTGAAGAGGAGCAGATCCGAGGAGTTTCCTTGTGTTCTAGAGCGAGAATAAGAAGTGGGTTTGGTTGTATTCTTAGAGAGAGAGAGAGGTTTTGGTTTTGAAGTGAAGGTGAATGGTTGTGGAGAGAAGAAGAGGAGGTTGGAGTTGTTTATGATGACCGGAGCTCCGGCCAGTGATCGGAGAGGGTGGTGGCGTTTTGGTGATTCTCTCACATGGAATGGCAGATCTTGCTAGCTACGGGAATGCGAACCGTGACGTTGAACAAGTAGGTTCTTTCTTTCTCTCTCTCTGTAGAAAGGTTATTTGCTCGGTGTGAAAGTTACAATTTCTGTCTCAAATTTTGCTTGTTTGTTTCAGTTTTTGTTCTATTTTGATAAGTGGTTGAAGGGTTTTTTTATTTATTTTTTGTCTCTTGGTTTTAGTTGACTGAGAATGTTATGATCGTGAGTGTGTTTCTTTTTTCGGTATAACAAATGGGAAATTGGAGGGAGATGAGAGAATGTAGGGGAGAAGAAATGGCGTGTAAACTTGTGTTTTAGTTCAGCTTGTTCTCTCTCATTAAGAAGTGTTATTTTTGACCCTTCTAGAGTTTCGTTTGATTATACGGTTGCTAGTGCTTAATGCATTGGCATGGAATGGGGAATCTGAAAAGTGAAGAGATACTGGCATGCCGTTTGGGATTGAATGGGAGGTTAACTTGGATTTGAATTGTCAAAAACTAATTGCTTGTTTGCTCCTGTGTTTTTTAAATCATGGACGTGCGTGTGTTAATGCTACAAATAGTAGTTTTTGAGCTTTAAACACATGTATACCATGAATTTAACGCATATCCAAAGTACAATAAGTCAGTTGATGTCTTTTGATACCATAGGTTAGTGATAAAATGTTGATATTGTGGTGTTTTATAACTGTCTTGGATCGGTCAAATAGGATACTGAACCTTGCGTTGATATTATTTATTTTTAGCACCTTCCCTTGTAGAAGCTTTTGTGCAGCTGAAGGGCTGATTGCACTGTGCACATTTTATGACCTAGTTCTAAATGGAAGCTGACTATATTAGAATTCATCTAGTGAATTTGAGCCAGCAACCGCTATTTATTTATTCATTGGATAATGGTAACTGCATACCTAGAAATATCTGTAGTTAGTAGCTTAGTACTACAATGCTAAACTGTAATTTAGGTCAAAATATTAAGAAGTGAGATGTGTTTCTCATAGAAATCGAATCGATATTGTGATCTATTGGATTTATCATGGAATTTCATAACATTATAGGAGTCAATTGTGTGCTATACCAGAATAGCCTTGGAATTCATTTTCAATAACGGCCATATAGCCTCAACAGCAGCTAAAATAGTGGCTTTTCGCATGCTATCGTGGCGCTACCATGATAAAGGTTTCAGAAACCCATTTTTACCCCTAAAACAATGTTGTTTAGGGCTTCTTTTGGGGTTAAAATTGTGATTTCTCTCCCATTTTTTAAAGTATTGTCTGCTTCAGAAACATAATAGGATCCCATCTTTTTTTACTATTCTCACTAAAGGTTACCTCTATTTTGACCTATGCTCCTTCACAGTATACAGGGGAATTTCTTTTTCATGTGTTCCACTCCTTTTCCTTCTTTTAGACTTCCCTGTTCACGTTCTGTTAAATTTTACCTAATGTGTTATGTTTTTTTTTTTCGATTAATTTCACCGTCATTCATTTTTTGACTTCATTACTATGGACTTATTGCTCCCACATTTATGATGATTTTGTGTGTGTAAACAGTGACTTATTATATATCACAAATTTCTATATATTTTTATTTTTGAGTATTCATGTGTTGTATAAATTATTTAGTTTGTATTATAAATTTAAGATAGTTGCCATCCCACTTCTTGCTATCCTGCTATAGCATTTTCAGAGCTAGCCACTATGCGCTGTTAACTGAGATTGATAATTATGTTTATAGTATAGGTGGCTAAAATTATGTCTCATTTCTCCCTATCCACTATATTTCTTATCAAGTCTTTGAAGCATGGAGACTTGTATTGCTTGAGATGTTGAAGTTCTGAAACTGGGACACAACATTGTTAAACTCGAGAGATTATGTAAACTCATGAAGCTTTTATAAACCTGACATGTAAACTCATAAGAGCTTACCTAATAAATAAGAAATAATCAAAGTATCAAAACAGAATTTAATGCCGTAACCATAATAAATATTCAATGTTTCTAATTATATGACAAAGTAAACCACAATAACAAAGCATGATTCAACATGTTTAAATCATACATGGAGGCACTGTTTGGGAGAGGGTTTTTGGATGAGAATGGAGGGGATGACATATTTTTTAATTTTAAATTAAAAGAATTATGTCATTTATGACGATAGATGCATGATTAATACATTAAATTTATGTTAATACGTCATTTTATATATTTTTATTTTGTTGAAGTCTCACATCGACTATGGATATGACTAAATAAAAAATTATAAAGCCTAAAACAATCCTAACCTTACAGGCTAACTTTTAGGGTTGATATTGGTTCACCCTTGATTGAAAAAAAAAAAAAAAAAGAAATCTCACTGGCCCCATGGATTTTCTAGTGCAACTTGCCTGATCATGCAACTTTCCCAATGCTACCTATCTGATTCCACTGCTTATTTCTCCTCTTCCTTTCCTTCCTAAACGCCATTTCCAAACAACTAACTAATTAATGAAGCGCAAGCAACAGAACCAGCAAGACAGTGAAGAGTAGTATAAGGACCAGCTTGGACTAAAAACCTGCAAGAACGAGAAAGGTCACAACTTTGATTAAGCAACAAAACCAGCAAAATTGATCATGCAACTAAAGCGCAACATAAGCTTTTATGCTGACAGCAATGAACAAGCTACCTGAACTTTGATTTGGTCAAAAGTAATATGATCTGGAAAACTCAAAATATTTGTCCATGGACTCATTAGTTTAGAACTCAATTCTACCTTAGTGTACTCACCAGTGACTTCATGGAATTCAACTTGTTTTCTCTATGTGGAAATGTAAACTCATTTGAAGCTATGAGTTGACTTGGAAGTTTTATAACCATGTTGGGTCATTCTTCTCACACCAACATTCGTGCAACCTGTGCTGGACATTGCTCACCAAATGTCTAATTAAAAGTATAATTTTGTTGGCTTAAACACCAGAGTTGATACATCTATACAGCTAGACACTTCAAGGACATTTAAATATGTCTATATACTTAATATTCACTTTTTAGCATTCTGAAAAAGTTAGGTTAAAATATTAAAATTATTGCCTTGGTATTTTTTTTGTGGGGCTTGTTTTCATAAGGAAAATGTAAAGTTAGGAAGACAATATTATTTTCTTGAAAGATTTGCAGTATTGCAGTGTTTTTCATTGGACTATACATGCCTGTTTGATCTTTATTGCTGTTTATATAGTAGCTTTTCATCCTGCAGGCGCTGATTGCTTTGAAAAAGGGTGCTCAACTGCTTAAGTATGGTCGCAAAGGAAAGCCCAAGTTTTGTCCATTTAGACTTTCCAATGTAAGTTAAATGAAAGCCTTTTCAGGAATGCATTCTCTACTTTCCTTCATTGTTTATTGCCTGGTTGGACATTGTTTAATTGATTATTTGCTCATGAAAGATAGCAGCTGTTGCATTTTTTGGTGCTATACTTATATGAACAATATAGTCTCAAAAGGCTGTTATTATTTTCCATATTTTATGCATCCATGTATGATGAGGTGTTGTTTTGTTCTTTATTATGATTAAATTCTGACATACTGTGCATGCTGTGTGTATCCATTTCACCATTTGGGAGTTCTTATTAAATTGAAATCTCTGACTAGTTTCCATGTGTTGACTGTAATGCATACCATTTAGCCTGCTCTTGAACCGTTTATGCCTATTTTCTATATAATTTTTAATGCATAGGAAATAGAAGACTGCACCTTGATGTATTTTACTTTTACCTCTGTTCTGTATAATTTCAGTCTGGCTAAAATCAATACTTCCCTGAATTAAACATTCATATATAGTGGTTGAAATTTTACACTCTTTTGAGTTATTTTATGTTTACGCATTAAAATATCATCATACTGCAGGATGAATCATCCTTAATCTGGATTACAAGCAGTGGAGAAAGAAATCTGAAGCTATCTTCTGTCTCTAGAATTATTCCTGGACAAAGAACTGTGAGATTTGTGCCCTTCTATCTAATATCATACAATACCATGGCATTATTTGTTCTGACTAAAGTGATTTAAAAAATTTATTTCACAAACTTACTCTTATTTGTTCTGTATTTTCTTTTACTTAATCTTTTGGCAGGCTGTTTTCCAACGTTACTTGCGTCCTGAGAAGGACTATTTATCTTTTTCACTTATTTACAATAACGGAAAGCGATCACTTGATTTGGTTAGTGACAAATTATTTAATTTTAATGCATCACTAAATCATTATTTTGTTTTCGTTTTCTGCCATTTTTGTTATTATAATAATTTCCTTGCATTGCTTTTCAGATCTGCAAAGATAAAGTTGAGGCAGAAGTGTGGATTGCTGGCCTCAAAGCACTGATATCATCTGGTCAAGGTGGTCGGTCCAAAATTGATGGATGGAGTGATGGGGGCCTCATTCTTGATGTAAATATCCTAATTTGTGATTTTTGTAGTGGAACCCATTTTGCTTGCATTGTGTTTCTTGCACTGTAGACTGTACTAAAACTGGAAAGGGGATAGATCATTGTCATTGTTTACTTGTGGTGTGTTGCATCATTTTCTTTAAGGCAGCATTTGGTAAATGTGTTAAAATGTAACAGTCTAACAGAACATATGGGTGTTGTTCTATGTTTGGTGCACTTTAAAAATAGAACAGTATTAGACATGGGGTTAAAGAGTGGTACATCGGGGTTCTACTAAAAATCGTAGAACCAAGAATAAAATCAGAGATGTTTCGTTTTGGTCTGTCTGCACACCAAATGCTACAATAGAGTGTATATTTTGAACAAATCAAGATAGAGAACTTTTTTGCTGCATTATAAGAGTGATTATTTATTGTTTCCTCTGAGGTATGTAGAGAACATTTTGGTTCTACTAAAAATGGTGGAATAAAAAAGAACAAAACCAAACAGAATCGGTTTGTTTTGTTCTGTCTGGCTGTCTGGTCAATACTTTTCTGTCTGCACACTAAATGCTACACTATAGTGTATATTTTGAACAAATCAAGATATAGAGAACATATTTACTGCATTATAAGAGTAATTATTTATTGTTTCCTCTAAGGTAAGCTAGTCTTTAATTTTTCAGGTAGTGGTCTTAACCTGAAAGGATATATATACTATAGGTTTTGCTTTTGTCCTGAAAGAGATTTCACTTCAACCTACTCTAATTTTTCAATTATGTGATTCATTTTATGAAAAGATGATCTGTATACAAGTTTTCTGAATTCCTGTACATCAGCTGTTGCCATTATGCTTCCATAGCTCCCTGATGCAATAAATGGTAAGTTGCTTATAATTCTGTGGCTCAAATATTATCAGGATAGCAGAGACTTAACATCAAATAGTCCAAGTGAGAGTTCCGCTAGTGCATCACGAGACATCAGTTCTCCTGAGATTTCTGCTCGTCTCCCAAACACTTCACCAAAGTCCTTTCAACGTGACAATAAAATTTCTGAAAGTTCACATGCACCACCAGATCCAACAAACATGCAAGTGAAAGAATCTGGTTCAGATGCTTTTCGTGTTAGTGTATCAAGTGCCCACAGTACATCTAGTCATGGATCTGGACCAGATGACTATGATGCTCTGGGGGATGTGTACATATGGGGGGAGGTTATCTGCGAAAATGTTAAAGTTGGTGCTGATAAATATGTGAATTACTTAAGCCCAAGGGCAGATGTGCTCCTCCCGAGACCATTAGAATCTAATGTAGTTTTAGATGTACATCATATAGCATGTGGTGTTAAACATGCTTCTCTAGTAACTAGGCAAGGTGAAGTTTTTACATGGGGTGAAGAATCAGGAGGACGCCTTGGCCATGGTGTTGGGAAGGATGTGGTTCAACCTCATCTAGTTGAAGCATTGACTTCTACGGCTATTGATTTTGTTGCCTGTGGGGAGTTCCATTCTTGTGCTGTTACAATGGCTGGGGAATTATATACTTGGGGTGATGGTACTCATAATGCTGGGCTTCTTGGTCATGGCAGTGATGTTAGTCATTGGATACCGAAGAGAATTGCTGGTCCATTAGAGGGACTTCAAGTTGCATTCGTTGCTTGTGGTCCTTGGCACACGGCCTTGATAACTTCAACTGGGAAGCTCTTTACATTTGGTGATGGAACATTTGGTGTCTTGGGCCATGGAGATAGGGAAAATGTATCATATCCTAGAGAAGTGGAATCCTTATCAGGGTTGAGGACAATGGCTGTTGCATGTGGAGTGTGGCATACTGCAGCTATTGTAGAGGTTATTGCAACACAATCCAGTACAAGTGCATCGTCAGGTAAATTGTTTACTTGGGGTGATGGAGACAAAAATCGCCTTGGACATGGGGACAAGGAGGCACGGCTTAAACCAACTTGTGTGCCCGCGCTTATTGATTACAATTTTCATAAAATTGCTTGTGGGCACAGTTTGACAGTAGGCCTGACAACATCTGGACGGGTTTTTGCTATGGGAAGTACTGTTTATGGTCAGCTTGGGAATCCCCAGTCTGATGGAAAGCTTCCCTGCTTCGTTGGAGACAAGATTGCTGGGGAATCCATTATAGAAATTGCATGTGGTGCATATCATGTTGCTGTTTTAACATCGAAAAATGAAGTTTATACTTGGGGGAAGGGTGCAAATGGGAGATTGGGTCATGGAGATATTGAAGATCGAAAAACACCAACTTTGGTTGAAGCATTGAAGGATAGACATGTGAAGTATATAGCATGTGGATCAAACTACTCTGCTGCTATATGCCTTCATAAATGGGTATCTGGTGCTGACCAGTCTCAGTGCTCTGCTTGTAGACAGGCATTTGGCTTCACTAGAAAGAGGCACAATTGTTATAATTGTGGACTTGTGCACTGCCATTCATGCAGTTCAAGGAAAGCATTAAGAGCAGTGTTGGCTCCTAATCCTGGCAAGCCATATCGGGTGTGTGATTCTTGTTATGCAAAATTGAACAAAGTTGCAGAAGCTAGCAATAATAATAGGAAGAATGCCTTGCCTCGTCTGTCAGGTGAAAATAAGGATAGGTTAGACAAGTCTGACCTAAGATTGTCCAAGTCAGTAATTCCTTCTAACATGGATTTGATAAAGCAGCTAGATAGTAAGGCAGCCAAACAAGGAAAGAAGGCTGATACTTTTTCACTGGTTCGGACCTCACAAGCACCATCTTTGCTCCAGCTAAAAGATGTTGTCCTGTCCACTGCTATTGATCTGAGACGAACAGTTCCAAGACCTGTAGTTGTGCCATCAGGAGTAAGTTCCAGATCTGTGTCCCCTTTTTCTAGACGACCAAGCCCCCCTCGTTCGGCTACACCTATCCCAACAACATTGGGACTTTCCTTCTCCCAAAGTATTGCTGATAGTTTGAAGAAAACAAATGAACTTTTGAATCAAGAAGTGCAGAAGTTACGTGCTCAGGTGCATTTTGCTTTCCTCCTCTCATATATCTAGCAGAAGTGCACTACTTGACACTCAGAGTGTAGCTATTGTCCTTTTAAATTTGTTTCCTACAATATTGCAAAACACAAACTGTATCACTTTGCTCAAAATTGCCAGAAAAGTTTGTCTCATGTTTGCAATTATACATTCTATCTTTTATTTTATGTGGAATCAAGGGAAGTCTAATTATAGATATCATTAGGTTGAGAGCCTGAGACAGAGATGTGAAATGCAAGAATTAGAGCTTCAAAAGTCAGCCAAAAAGACTCAAGAAGCTATGGCGCTGGCTGCTGATGAATCTGCTAAATGTAAAGCTGCAAAAGAAGTTATAAAGTCACTGACAGCAAAGGTTCTTTTTCTGTTTAATTTACTTTTCTTGGAGCCAGTTGTATTTGAAATGGTTTATTTTTTGTAACGTCATTTTAATTTTTCCTTGGAATAAAATGGACATTTGATTAAACCATCCATCAATTAGAATTTATATTATAGAAATTCTAGATCTTTAGGATTTGTTTTGACAACAGTTATGATCTTGTTGCATGGAATTTAAGATTTTATTTTCAGTTTCATTTGTTTTGCTTTTGGTTTCACTAGTATTTTAAAATTTCCATTATTTAATTTGTTGGGACATACACAGAGGTCTAAGATTTTCATTTTCCAGATTAAATTACCCTGCATTTCCGTGTACTACTGTCCTAAAGTTGTTCTGAATGTCCCATTAACATTGTTTCAGCTCAAAGAACTGGCCGAGAAACATCCTCCTGGAGTTAATGATGCTGAGAATATTAGATCAGCTTACCTACCAAATGGTCTTGAGCAAAATGGCATTCACTATTCAGATTCAAATGGGGAGCAGCACTCCGTGATAGAATCATTCAATGGCTCTAGTTTGGCATCCATGGGACTTGAATCCTCTATGTTGAATAGAACCATGGAGAATTCACCAGGAACTCATGGAACCAATCTTCACCACCAATTCAGGACATCTAACGGGACCAATAATTATCCAGATGTTAAATTGCCAAATGGTGGTGGTGTGATTCAGGCTAGCAGTAATAGCATGACAGATACTGTTGATGGAAGGGATTCGGGGCATTTTCATGATGACGAGAGTGGTTTGAAATCGAGGAATGCCGCACCTGCTGCTAATAGTAATCAAATTGAGGCAGAATGGATTGAACAGTATGAACCTGGTGTCTATATAACACTTGTGGCCCTGCGCGATGGAACAAGAGAGCTGAAGCGAGTGCGCTTCAGGTAATAAAAATGTTCTCCTTGACTGGGTTACTGCATCTGGTTATACTAGTATATTTGGCTAGCCCAACTGTGAATAGCTTCACTTATATTTGACCAGTGATAAGGATTGCGGACTAAGAAAAAATATGGACTTTTTAAGATCTTCAACTCTTGCGAACATTACTTTGATAATAATTTTTCAGAGTAAAATATACTTCTAGTCTTTTAAATATGGTTAAATTTAATTTTGGTAGTCCAAAATTTTGTTTGTTAATCTTCAAATTTTAAGAGAATACTTATTATCGTGACATGCATTTATATATGTTACATCACATGTCATGTCAGAATGGTCGCTGATGTGACATGTATCCATGCTGTCACATCACCTAATAGTAACTATTTAAAAAAATTTAAAATTTATAAATATCAAAACCAACAAACTTTTTTGGAGGACTAAAATGAAATTTAATAATGTAAACAAGGACTAAAAACACATTAAACCTTAGTTTGTATCTTGTGGAGACTGCATGACTCTATCTTTAACCAGGCAGATATGTTAATGATTGTGCAGTTTTCAGGTCCCTGAAACTCACATGAACATCATTATTATTGCTTTCAGCCAAGATGATATGCATTCTCGTAACATCAAGTTTTTTGTGTACTGCATTTGATGGTAAATGTAATTGCAGCCGGAGGAGATTTGGAGAGCACCAAGCCGAAATTTGGTGGTCAGAGAATCGGGACAAGGTATATGAAAGATACAATGTTCGAAGCACTGACAAGCCTCCAAGCCAAGCAGCGCGTAGTACAGAGGGTGCTGGTTCACCTGTTTCCCAAACTTAAGTAAAGTAGAGGGAGGGAAGTTCTCCATTAACAGCACATTTTGTCACTCTAAGCAACATCATAGGGAAGGTAGAGTGCATATCAAGAAACAAGTCTTTTTGGGTTGTTATGTCTATCCTTATGCTCTTCTCAATCTTTTTCTTCCCCATTTTTCTTCAATTAATTGTCTTCCATTTCATTTGGGCAGATGCCCTTTACATATTATTGTAGTGTAGTGTATATAAAATCATCAGTTCTGATAATTTTGGCCAAGGAACCACCCCTACCCATTTAGCGTTTCATTTAATTTCTTTGCTTGTTCTCTTTTGGTTCCATCACATCTTTGTGTGTGGATCATTGTCATTTCATTCATTTTTTTTTTCACAGGTAATATTGTACTTGGTGTTGTAGTTGTTTGATCATTCCCTCCCTATTAAAGGAAAATGAATGTTTCCCAATTAGGAAAACCACTTGTATGTCATCCTCAGGTACAAACGTGTCAATGCTGTCATAAGGAGCATTTTTAATCTTGAAACAATGCCGAAAGAGTCATTACATAATATACAAACTGAATCTATTGATTATAGGGATTGACTGAGTAATTACAGCTAATCTTAATTACTTTATTTACATAATAAATCAGATTTTTATATACAAGGAAAGAGTGACAACTATCTGAAATGATGGAAATACATAAATTTTTAACATTTCTCCTCAAGTTGGTGCATATATATTATTTGCATTAAGTTTGTCACAAATATAAGTTATCCTTAATCTTCAAAATGACTTAATTAGCATGTTAGCTAATTGGTCATTGAAACTTACAAATGATGTAATAATCTCACTAGAAAGAACTTTTTGATGAATAAAATGGTATTCAATCTTTATATGTTTAGTTTGCTTATGAAAGAAAGGTAATGTGTAAGGGTACCTGACTATCACAAATAAGCATTATAAATCTTATCTCACAAAACTTTAACTCAAAAATAAGTTGTTTTAGCCATACAAGTTTGTATGAGGTAATGATCATTGCTTGGTATTTAGTTTTAGCACTTGATTTAGGTATAACATTCTGCTTTTTACACTTTCAAGCAATAAAGTTGCTTTCAATTAAAATACAATATCTTGAAGTTAATCGTTTATTACTTGGACAACAAGCCCAATCTATATCTGTGTATGCAACAATATTAGCATAGTCCTTATTTTCATAAACTAATCATTTTTTAGGGGAACCTTTGATGTATGCCATGATTTGAATTATTGCATATGAATGACTATCATGAAAGGAAATGTTCGACCTAGTCATATAGTAAGATAATTTAACTTGACTAATCTTTGATATTTGCCCAAATCTGAATACAACTCCTTAGTTTGGTATAAGCTTGACATTTGGATGCATATGATATTAACTGACTTACAATCTAGCTTTTCTGTTTCCTTCAAAATATCAAGAGCGTATTTTCTTTGAAGTATGGTAACACAAATTTTTGATTGAGCTACTTTATTCCCAAAGAAATATCGAAATGACCTAAGTCAAGCAAATGCTACTTGAGTCGTGTGATATCATCATGATAATTAGCTATGATAACAATCTCATCGACATAAGTAATAAGATAAATGCATTGATTAGTATAAAAGTAAGTATAAATTACATAATGGTTTGCCTTATTGCGAGTCATTCCAAACTGTTGGAGAACTATATTATAATTACCAAACCATGCTCAAGGACTTTGTTTAAGGTCATATAAAGCCTTACATAACTTGCAAACAAATCCTTACTCCCTTTGAGCAAAAAAAAATAAGAGCTATGGTAAGGGAAGATTGTTGTGATGCTACCTTCAGCTAGAGGCTCCATGTCTAACAAAATATTATGATTGTCTTTACCAAATTTAGTTTGCTTTTTCACAATGTAAGATTGACACTACTAGAAAACCTGTAAATATAGACAAATTTACAGACAAATTTTTTAATTATTATTGGCGAATTTTAGCATTATAGATAGATTTATAGATGGTTCTAGTTCGTCTATAATATGCGCGTTGGTAAATAATTATAGAAGAATTTTTGATTCTGTCTATAATTAAATATAAACAAAAAAAAAAATTTGTCTGTAAATTAAAGACGAAAAAATTTATCTGTATTCTATTTGTGAAATTTTAATTTTTTTTATATACATAATTATTCTTCGTTGTTCCTAATTATCACAAATTATAAACATAATAAAAACTATAAAATTATATATTTAAAATTACAAATAAAGAAGTAAACATCTCAATAAATAATGTCAAAAATAAAATAACATTGTATATCGCTAATAATCGGTATAATCATCTTTTGAAAAAGTATCACCATCAATAGAGCAAGAGTTGGAAGAGAGATGACGCATGGAGCTGGAGATTAGTGGTGTTGGAGGTGGTGGAAGAGGAGGAAGAGGTGTGGAACTGCTTGCTCTTTCATAAGCTTAAAGTATGTATGCATTTGCTGCATCTGCATATGCTATTGCTGCACCTCCCTCTGCATCTTCGAGCTCACTTTCTTCTTTATCTTTTTCTCTATTTTCTTCACCCACTTCTTCTTCCATGCATTTTCCTTGATCTTCTACCTCTCCTCATTTTACTTCTACAGTTCTTCATTGAGGGCATGAACTTAAGTGCAGACCATGTCCTCCATTTCCTCAGGTACAAGAGAATGGGCATCTCTGGTGACAGATGCAGGGGACATGAAGTCTGTAAAGTGGCTCCCCATGCCGTAAATGCATCCTTTATAAACTGTACTGAAGGGGGAGGAGCAACATACCTAGGGTTGAGCACCATGATAAACTTCTCCTGCCTCCTAACAGTAGCTGGTGTGGAGGTGAAAGTGGGAGCAGTGGGTGAAGGAGTGTTGTCACGATCAAGACGCTAAGCAACACCTTTCTTACCTTTACCTACCATATCTTAATAAAATATAATACATGTTTAGAGACCAAATACATAAATACACAATGTTATATCAACATTTTATTTTACATTACACAAATTTCTAATGTAAATTTTGGCAGAATCTCCTATAATATATGAATATTTCCTTATTTTTATTTACACTTAATACAGTAAATTTCTAATATAAATTTTGGTAGAATCTCCTTTAATATATGAATATTTTCTTATATTTGTTTACACTTAATACAACAAATTTCTAATGTAAATTTCAGCAGAATCTCCTCTAATTTATATTTATTTACACTTAATAATAAATTTCTAATGTAAATTTCGGTAGAATCTACTCTAATATATGAATATTTCCTTATATTTGTTTACACTTAATACAACAAATTTTTAATGTAAATTTTAGAAGAATTTTCTTTAATATATGTATATTTCGTTGTCTTGTTCTTTACAGGTACTTAATATAAAAATTTAAATTTCCTTTACACATAAGCTATATATTATATAACAATCTATTATTAATCATTGCATAAAAAACATACACATCACAATCCTAAACCGTTTTAGAGCATATCCTCTTATAACTCCACAACATGCATATTCTACAATCTCCGCAAGTACAAACAATCTCATAGCACACAGTAATCAGGTTCGGAGAAGGACCTCTACGCCCATCCCCCAGTCATACATTTTTTAGTCCTATAACTCTATCTTAGAAATTTTAAGTTTCTATTATATATCAAAAATTAAAAAATTAAACCAATTAAAAGTTAGAGTATCATACCAGGAACACAATGATGTAATTATTTTTCAAATGAATGTTCTAGCCATTTGCAAAGGCCAAAAAATTGATAATGCTAGAGAGAGACAAAGACAGGGAGATGAGAGAAAGAAGAAATAATGAAAAGTGAAAAGAAGGAGTAGGCGCGGTTTTGATGCAAATTATTTCCGTCCGTAAATGATTTAATGAAACAGTGTGTTTTAAGAGTTCAATTACAGACAAATTTATTCATCTATAAATCTGCCAAAGATCATTACAGACGAAAAAATTCGTCCGTAAATAGGCAAATGAAAAGTTGGCAAAAATAGTCATATTTATAGACAAACGTTTTCGTCTGTAACTTCCGCTCCAAAAATCCTGCTAATTTTTAAATTATAGACAAAAAATTTTGTCTGTAATTTTGTCTGAGTTTTTACGCCAAATGACAGGCTGTAATACGAGGATAATACAGACGAATACTTTTTGTTTCTATTACAGACGGATTTCTCCAAAAAAATATTTAAAAAATTAAAAAAATTGAATATCTGTTTATAAATCTGTCTGTATTACAGATAAAAAAAATTTGTTTGTATTATCTATCTGTATAAAGCGTGTTTCTAGTAGTGTGAGAGTACATCATTTTGGCTGATTTTTGAAGAAACCTAATCAAGGAATAGTACTTATCTTGAATGTGGCTCATATGCTTACAATAAGAGCATTGTAGATGATTACCAAAACTACGACCACCTGTTCCACTACCTCGACCACAACTTTGACCTCTATGACTGGTCATATTAGAGAGGAATGCAGAAGAATCCAAACCTAGTTGGTAACCATTTTCTGGCATAGTTTCTCGAAAAGGGACACAATAGATGATTAGTGAGGTTCTCTGTCGTAGGTAAACTGGAATTTGTTAGAATTTGGTTCAAAATCTTTGTGAAGGTTAGGAAGAATGAATACTATGTACACATTATCAATCTTGTCTAAGGCTTTTTGAAGGTCCCTGTCAAGACCAACTTAACTTCATCAATGGTGGATTGTGCCCTATTCAAATATGATGGAAGGTCGTTATTTGTTATTTTAAGTGCAGTCAAATTATGTAAAATGTTATAGAGACAATGAAACATCATTTGAATAAACACTACAAGCTTTCTTTTATATATCTTAACATGTCTTACATATACAAAAATGGACTAATAACTTTGGATCAATAAACTGTCATAGAAGTGAAGCCAATTGATAATCAACCTTTTTCTATTTCTATTGATCTTGTTTAGTGGCATTAATGTCATCTGTCTTCTTAGTTAGGTGATCAAAGAGACTTTGACCCAAAAATTAGATTTCCACCGTAGCTTGCCAATCTATATAATTTTTGTTGTCAGAGATAGCAATTGACTCTATTAGACCTGAAGCCATAACTATTGAACAAGGTGAGATATGAAAGAGACTAAAAATAGTTCACCAACTTGAAAAGTGACATATAAAAGAGACAAGGGTTTGCTGATGAGATGAATGGTGAGACAAAAAGGTGTCGTGTAGGACGACACATGACTTACACGCTTTGAAGAACTAGCTAAATGTTTGGTGCATGGGCTATCGAGAGATGATGAC